GAAGGAGGGGGAAGGAGGGGGGAAACTGCAGGGAGAGAGGGAATTTCCATCAACGTGAGAATTTCCTCTCATGTCAAACAATCGTTATGTAATTGTGTCCGTTTCACGGGCTCTCTCCGTCTTTCGGAATTGGGTTCCCCTCTTGAGAGTGTCGCTCTCTAAATGCAAAATATTAGCTAAAATGGGTCTGAGGCGGAAAGTCCAGAGGAAACCGAGGGGATTCAGCCTCGTTGGCTCTTCTCTCACGAAACGCGTGGGTGAGAGTAAGAGGGGGGCTAAGCCCCCCCCCTTTGTGGTTGGATTGGAGGGGGGGGGGGCAAGAGGGGCAAGAGGGGAGAGGACAATCTGTTTCGCTCTCGTTCTTCTCTTTATTTCGGATTTCTTTCGTCATGAATTCTTTTTCAAAGTGAAGGAGACGTCCAGTTTCTCCCAATCGTGAGTTGGAAAATTTGACGAAGGAGGTTCGGTGAATCTGGAAGAGCTCAAGTATCCGAAGAGCCAGACTCTTATAAGACGGCAAAATGTTACCACTGAAATATTTTTATCGAACGTTTTCATGACTGAAGTTTCCGGGAAAAAAATCAATAAAAACCTTGAAATGGCGGCGTTCTGGGCACGGCATTTCGCAGTTAGTTTGGAACTCGGAAAATAATTTGGAAAACTCTTGAAAATCGGATGGTTCTGGATTTTTTGCGCAGAGTGTGGCGGGATCGTCGACAAATTACAACCCGGAAGACCCGAACGACCTGAACCAGGCGGTTTTCCCCATGGAGACTCAGGTTCTCATGCAGGAAGTCCTGACCGACGGCATGTCCTTCTGTTCCCTCATGTGATTCGCTGGAATGGGAGGAGGGAGGAGGGAGGAGGGAGGAGGGAGGAGGGAGGAGGGAGGAGGGGGGGAGGGGAGGGGGTGTTCTTCTTTCGTGTCCTTTGTGCGAGCGTGGACGGCGAGACAATCCGGTGGGGTGTGGAGGCGGTGCTGGGGGTACAAAGGTGGGAGTCTTTCCTAGAAACAGGGTGCCCTGGGTCTTTTCGCCTCCGAAACTCATCTAAATTTAAAGGTAATTAGGTAATGGTTGGGACTGGCAGGGGGAGGGGGGGGCAACTCCAAGAACGGGAGAAAATGTTGGTTTTTCTTCATTCTCAGTACTGACATGGTTAAATGACTTTTTTTTTCCCGGTAAACTGGGTCCAAGCTACATGAAAATGATACTCTTTCAAGACGGTTTTCGCCAAACCGGTTGACGGCCGAAGTCAACTCGAAGGAAAGCGCACAAGCGAAAAAAAAAGATGTGCAAGACGAGGAAGTGACTTCGCATCGTTTCGGCAGAGACCCTGCCCAAGAAACCTACGTGCCAAGTTTTCTCCTCGCGACTCTTCGAAAATGAAATTTTTTTTTTCCTCGCCGAATGAGAATTCAGGAACTCGAGGTGCTGACGGACCCGAAGGCGTTGGAAGAATTTGTTTTCCCCTCGTATTTTGTCACCCTCGGTGTTTCGACGTGGCCGTTCCCCCGATCTCGTTGTCGATCCCGCCGATTTTTACGGTTTCCCATGAATATATTCACCCGCACAGACGACTCGATGTGGTGTGAATTTTCCGTATGACTCTGTGAGCATGAATTCATCACCTCCGTACCGCTGGATCGGTTTCGTGTGAAATCGAACTGTGGGGGAATCCCGTGTTAGCTTTTCCTAGCTGCATTTTCCAAGCTTTCGTGTTCTAGGGCAGTGTTGCGAAAGCCCGTTGCTTTTTCTGTCCTCCCAAATCTATGTGATTCCAGCCGTGTCCCTCGTCAGAGATGCTATTTTATCATTGGACATTGTTAGCGAAGAGAAATACAATCCCGATTCTTTATCCTGTATCCTGGCAGACCTTCATTTCGGATCCATCGGAATCCAAAAATGCGATCCGGCATCCGTGGAAATGCCCCCCCCCCAATCCCTCCCAACTTTTCCCTTTGGAACGGGATCGGATGCATGGGATTGACGTCTGGAGATCACCAACCGAGACACAAGCGAGCAAATCCACGTACCTTTGTACGTTCCTAGTCGTGTGACAGTCCTTTCGCCTCATTAAAACGAATTTTAATCCGCGAATTGCGCACTCGACTTTCGAAGCTGCGAAGGCACGAGGAAAAAAACACCGAATTTAAATAGGCTTGGGATTGCGAAGGGAAGTCGAAGGGAAATCCCCCGATTAATCCCAGCCGGAAATTGAGGAGCATGGACTTCATTCGTGCCACGTTCGATGTGTGGCCTTGAGATGCGCATTATGGAGCGAGAGACGTAGATCCGATAAGAGCGTCTGCAGGAAGCTGGGAAGGCTTCCAAGACGTTTCCCGGAAAAACGACTTTGCGACACCTTGCGAGGGAATGGCAAAGACGTAGTTTTGGTCATATGAGTCCAGATGTCGTGTGCGTCTTAGGCCCTCTTGCTTCCTCTGCCGCATGTCTCGTATGGCCAGCGCTTGTGTCTGTCGTGAGAAACCTCGTGAAATTCGACATTTCGTACTTCGTGCAGATTAAGAAGCTGGTGGAAGCCTTCGCTGCGCAGATTTCAGGTCAGAATGACTTAAATTTCCTTCAGTAGGCCTATACCTGCGTGTCGCACGTGCAGGAGTTCCACAAATTTGACATCCAAGTCCGTTTACGTAGATTCAGTCTCGTAAAAAAAAAAAAAACAAGAGATGCAGATGTTTGAAAGAGCGTACTCTCTTCAAGATGAAATCACGCAACGTTGCTCAAGATCCAATCAACGAAGTAGGAAACTTGAGTATAGACCCCATGGTAGGACGGTCGAGCACATCCGTGACTCCACGAGACGATTCCAACCAATTCCTTGGACCCATCTGACCGGACCAGTGGACCCCCTTCGTCTCCCTAATGTAATGACAAGTTTTGTACGCACGAGCCATGACAATTAATGTGAAGCACTGAAATGATGGATGTGAAAAAGAGGGACATGGCACCCTCTCTCTCAGAGAGAAAAAAGCCGAGGGTTTCTCAAGGAAAATACAGGTGTCGCACATTTCTTCTCGATTCGAATTCCTGATATGGTAAAACCCCCAGTTTTTGGCCACGCTGATACGACTCCCATAGGAAGTGGACACCCTGAGTGCTCACGGGGAAACACTAGTAATAGGTCCTCGTATGGGAAGATGTTGATAGAATGCTTGAAAACGGCCTGATTAACTAATTATGCTGGATTTAAGCCCCACTGGCCAACAACTGGAGACCGGCCAGAAACCGGGGTGCTTACCCTATAGGCCTATGCCAAAATCTTACGAGAAGGAAAAGAATGAAGGAATCGAACTGACGTCGCAGAATCCCCTGCCGCCTCCGTCTTGGCCGGCGCAGATCATGTGGTCGTAGACGGGTAAAGTGGGTCCGTAGAACTCCTCGCATTCGTCTTGGGTGTAGGTGACGATGTCCGCCGTGCTGAGGAGCGTCGGGGGGAGGTCACCCTCCCTCGTCAGCCCCCATCCGGACACTTGCACCGGCGTCCCCTCTGCATTTGAGCATACGTTGTTTATGCAATTGCCTTACGGGATGAATGGCTGAATGCATAAACTGCATGTCGCAGTTTAGAATGAATAATTATGAATAATTATTAGTTAGCCATTCCTTCTGTGAACAATGTCGTTCCGGTGCTCGCATACATGCGAAGTCGAGAATTAAATGGGGTATGTTTAATTGATATTTATAGCCAAAGAATTGGGCACGAAATGCCAGAAAGTCCTACTTTGATATTCAACCCCCTGCTGAGGAAGGACAATGGATCCGATGTTGGTTCCGAATTGTAGTTGGGTTCCCAAGACCAGGATGCATATGTCGTTGGTCAGCTCCTGACTGAAAATACTCAAGGTATTTTTTCCATCTATTGTTTAACGAATCGATTACGATGATTAACGTACGTACAGATTAAAGTCCTCGTGAACGATGATTTCAGTCACAGGGCTTGTGCTTCCCTCCGCCGGGTTTTCAAGGTCGACTACTCCGGCCCAGACCTGGATAAATAGACCCACACAAACTCTACCGCAAGTCGCCTTCGCATTCATCCCTTCAGTTAAGTCCATGCAAGGAGAGTCCATACAAATACAAATCTCTGGCAACTGTCATGATCTTTTCACATTCGAGGTGGAGGAAGTCTTTACCTCTATCAAACTTTATCAGATTTAAGATATAACAACGTTTTCCTTTTGTAGTTACTTACGAGTTAGAAGCGTACATACGGTCAGTTCTTCAGGCCTCCGATAGAGGCAGCATTGTGCAGCAGTGATGACGTGGGATCCATCGTAGATGGCACCGCCACACCAATGTCCCAGGCTTCCCCATTGAATGGATGTCACCCACGGGAATTCCCCTAATTCTGCCTCCGCTCCACCCATTACCCTCCATCCATCTCCTCCTCCTGCATCAGATCCTTATTACGTGGAGCGTTTCTTACGTTCTATACGTTCTTACGTTCTACTTGGGGAGAGGGAGGCAAATGGGCATTCCATCGATTTAGAGGCTGGAGACTCACCGCTGGCAGCCGATCCAAAGGAGATGGAGATGAAAGCAATCACGAATTTGAGCATTTTCGTTCCTCCGAAGGACTGAAGTTTTCTGTGTACCTTCATGCCTGCACCTGAATGAGTTCCCACGCGGCTTTCCTTATCTCCTGGTATATGTTCGAGCTCTTAATACACCATTCTAAAAAAAAAAGCTGTCGAGAAGCAGGGGGGACGGACCCATCCGTCATCATCACCCTGTGTATTGTTTACTGAATCGAAAACGACGAAGAGAGCTCTCAATCGCTATGGAAAGCTCTCCATGTCACCATGGCGGCGGCCGTGAATTCCGATGGGAAAAGAAAGACTCGTGGCCACTCAAGGTCAGGGGAGTGCTCCTGTTTTTCTTTGGAATGCGACAATGCATTTAATTGGGTGGTAGAAGTAACCACAAGAAAATTATTGTATTCCGTTCTCTGTATTCCTTTCCCTATATTCCCTGTATTTCCATCATGACACTTGTAAAGTATTAATAGTATTTGGTAAAAGTATAATTATCATGTTTGAATGACAATCAATTAATATTGAACATTTCAAATGCTGGGGTTTTGCACGAGGACAGAGAAATGTAAACTGACAGGTTGAGTTTTTACTCTCGGACGAATGAACAGCCAACTTTCATAAACTTGAAAGATTGTCATTACTATCCCAAGTAACACAAAGAATTCCAGCAACGTTTTAAAGATGTTGATGGAGAACGTAGTCTCACTGCCACCCAATCTGGACCTATATTGGCATTACTATCCGGAAAAGCATTGGCTTCATTGTCCCTGAACTGGACCGAAAATCATGCCAATATTTCACTAATCATTTCGCATCACATACTTTAACTCCTTACCCAGTCATTGGGGAGACGTTCCCATCAACAGGACGAAGCCTGTACTGGTGTAACCCTTGCTCAGGCACAATACAGTACCTGTATTATGGATAGAAGACAGTAAATTTTGGGAGTTCAGCTTCCCTTAATGTGCTAAATGAAGCACTTTACAGGGAATGGTCCACCCATCATGTTCAATGGAGTGTCCACGAAGTCTGCCCATCTCCTCCTCGTCTTGTTCTCAGCAAGGCCGGCGATAGTACCCCTGCGTCCCCTACAGCTGCAGGGGCCCCCCGCAGAATCCAGGGGCCCCCTGGGGAAGAAATACATAAGTAAGATAGGAAGAACGAAGAAAAAGAGAAAAAACTTTGTAACGCTGCGAGTTATTCCGAAAGAGATCCAAGCGCTGAATGAGACTGAGAATATTCCTAGGTCTTCCTATTCTGGACAGGCGAGAAGGCCGAGCTGGGCGAATCCGTCACCGCCCCAATGCATGGAAAGCATTTTAAAAATATTTTAATTTCTCCATCCTTCCCGCATGAAATCTTCAAGCTTGAAGGCACTCAGGAGGAGGTGAAAAAGACATCCGTGTGGAAGGGTCTACCTCGTTTTCATCCCTTCCCGCGCTTGTCTCCCTTGATCATGTTGGGAAATGTCTTGTACGTGGTATACTCATTACCGAATCATTGATAGGGTTGACACATTTTAATTCAACAAAACGTGGACATATAGAAATATGCACAAATATTCGAAGTATACCTGTGTATGCGGCTATGCCGCAAATACCCGGAGCCACCTTAAGCCAATGCGTCAATCGATACTATGAGAGTGTGGCCTAATGCTTCTGACTTACAGAAAAGAGCCGTTTTAGCTGCTATTAACCTTTATTAATTAAAAAAACTTCAAATCGTTTATATGGACAAAAGTGTCAATATTAAGACCAGTTTGCAGTATCTACGGATCTACTGAAATTGCCGTATGTACTATCAGTACTAATTATGAACTGGTGGCGACCCTAATCATCGATGGTACCCGTGCAAAGTTTAGACACCTTTTGCCAAGGGTAACCTCAACAGCTCAAAGACCTTGTCGATGAGCTTCGCAATCTGGCTACGTTTCTACCAGAGCCACTCGATGCTCTTGAAACTCCGCGATTCATTCACAAGAGTAGTCAGACCTGTGTATCCTAACGTGTCCATCGCTCTTGGAGTGCTACTCACAGCTCCAGTGAGAGTTGCATCTGCAGAAAGAAGCTACTCCAGACAGAATCGATTTATGACTTATCTAAGATGAAGCATGTCATAAGAATGTCAGACAGGACTAACCATACTCTCCATCGAGAGGATCAGCAGGTCATTTAATTACAAGAAAGTGATCGATGAGCTGGTGGCGAAGATTCCGAGAATACGAACACTAAATCTTTGAAACCTACGAAAATTCCTCTCCTTTCCTTGCTTAATTAAAATGTAGTGATTTTCATTCCCCCCCTAATATTACTTCGATGATCGAAAATGAAGTGAGGGGCAAATCTCCAGAATCCAGAGGTGGCCCAATGTATTTGCCGCAGGGGGCTCCTCATTTTCCTGCGTCGGGCCTGGCTCTCAGAATGGGAAAATGAAAGATTGAATTCACAGACTCTCTACCATCGTCTTCTTAATCTCCCGTTGGATGAAGTCGTTAAGTTCTTGGAATGGGTTCTTTTAGGGAATGTGAGCTTGTTTTTGGCCTGAGCTCCATGAATCTGTCTCGAATATTGGGATAGCAAATGATGAAGTGTCCGTGTTCATTGATTCCTATAATGACCCACACAGCAAAGCAAAAACGTACAGTGAGGTACATATTTTGTACGGTATGAGCTACAAACGTATGTCGTAAAATATGTTGAAAAGGTACTGAAGCAAAATAAGGTACAAATGTGTACCCTTCTTATCTCAATTCAGAAGGTACGGATGGGGTCTTTTTGAATCCCATGTGTACCTTGTTTTGGGCTTAAGAACGTTTCAAAAATCTGCTTATGAACTTCAATTTTCAGCTTTGAGGAGCTTTGAAGTGAGCTTTAGTGACACCGTCATCCGGTAAACTGTCACATATAAGGAAGATATCCTTATGCCACCATGCTGTCGGAGACGGTGACAGCTCGGCAATGTCTATCTCCATGATGCTGCAGGACGTGCTGGCTGTCTCGTAAACAGCGTCGTCTCCAGTTATAATGGATACTGTTAGTGGCAGGTCCATACAGAGCATATTTTTCCGTTTCCCCTCTTAGTTCGGGGGGTGATATCTCTAGAAACGCAGATCCGATGGAGGTGATTATTAGTATGATTTTTTTACGATGTTGTTAGATTGACTGCAATCGCTAAGAATTTTTATCGCGAAATTTGAGATGGACGGTGGCCATTTTATATTAAAATTGGTTGAGTTTGTAAGGAACGACCTCTGTTCTTTATGGAGCAGCGAATGAACCTGATGCATCTTAATGGTTAGAGATGCCCCAGGTAGTTGCGAACGTGGTGTCCGGGAATGGATGCTTTTTATTGAGAGTAGTAGTGACCATATCGAATAACAGTTATCGTGGCGCCCCCTACGGTCCTCGTTCCAAACCACTTGTATTTGTCCACATCGTTTCATATACGCATCCCTAAAGTCATAACTCTGTGTCCACGCATCTACCGGTAAGGTGTCCCCAATAGACTCCTGACTTTTGAACCACCTTGTATTTGACCAAGTTTCCAATTTTCACTGATAATCCTTGCAATAATCTCAGGAAGAGGACTCATGAAAAAATATTTTCCTCTAGTTTCAGTCTGTTCACTTATGAAAGGCCATTGCATTTTAGTATTTAACTGTCAAGTAAACAATTCTATATCTTTTGCTGCATTTGATACAAGTCTCCTCGGTGACGTCATGCTTTCTTTCACGGGAAAGTTAGTCATCTGTAACAAAAAAACTCCACGAGAGTTCATTAATAAAAGAAAGTCATATGAATATTTCATTGATATACGGCCGAGATCAATTCGGCTTAGTTGTTTCAGACTCGAGAATTTTCGTTATTGTCAGGTAATAACTGCAAGGAATAATTTCAGTCTTTTTATCCTCGGCAAATTTGACAATCCATTGATGTATATACTGTGGATGAATCTATCTATCCACCCTATCAGGAGATCGATCAGCATCAAAGGAAAGGCCATTCGGCCGATGTGCAAATGATAGGCCCACGCTTTCCTCCAGAACTGTTTTATTAAACAGCTCGATTGTAGATCAGAGTGAAAGCTTCATGAAAAGCCTTCAACTCAACCAGTTGATGTGAGTGGATGTCTGAGCATAGACTCCTGGTTGGCGAGGTCGAGCACAGCCGTATCCCCAGGACACGATCCCGACGAGGTGTTGGTTGCCTCCAGTGAGGAACAGGGGACCTCCAGAATCTCCCTATATTGGCATGAGAAATAAAAATTAATCTGCAGGACTGTCGAATGTTCCTGTCTCTTTTTTTGAAAGACGTTTCGCGCCGAAATGCTTTCGCAGCAGCCAGGACTCCTAGCTGATAGGGAGGGAGATTATAATGATAATGCGAGCTTACAAAAATTGCAGCACGAATAAACGCAACCTAACATGGACAATTTCATTCCCAAACCATGGGCATATACGGATTTCTTTTACAGTTTAGTTTCATCACTTTATGTGAAGCTAAGTCTATTCTTGAATTCCAAAGTCTTGGTTTTTCTATTTATTTCTCAGAAGATTCTCTCTTCTCCTGCTTCTCCTGCTTTCCTCTGTTCCTGCTTCTCAACTTTTATTTCGTTAGGGCTGAGGTTTGACTGAAAGCTTGGAAATACCCTTAGAATATCCATGGGGAATATTCTGTCATCCTCCCTCCTGGTTCATCAGAGAAACGGAAGTGATTCGAAATGTAATGTACAATATTTTCTCATCCTAAGAAACACAGGAATCCTATTTCATTCATAGCTCTATCGCGCAAAATGAAAATAAAACTCTGATTTTTAGGCGACGAAGTGACAAAGACAGCTCGTACCCTACTTTTAAAACCAATACATCCCACAAAACTCGGCTCAGCGCCCTCTCATGAATGGACGACTGAGGCATCTAAACGTACATTCCGGTACTTCCTAGAAACATCTACCAGTCGTTCCAGTTGACTAGAAGACTTTCCCATACGAGTTTATAGCTATGCGTTCCGTAAGAACTGTCTTTCCTGCAGGAACCGTTAAATTGTCACTCCTTACTTAACTTCTCTGAAATAGCTTATATTAACGTTATTTCCTATTTTACCTGGAGTCATAAGGAATCGAAATGCAAGAACGCAAGCAAAGACGTTGAAGATGATGCTGATATGACCGTTACAGCAGACTGCTGTATCCGATTTTTTTCATGTCTATTCTTTAAAATGAAGTGCAGTACCCTATACCCCTTTTCGTTTGATCTTCCTTAAGTCTCTGACTTTGACGTGAAAGATAGGGCGGAATGTTTACTTTATTGTCCCATATGCGATTCTTATTTCCATATTCGCCTAGAATAGTACAGAAGCAGGAATTTTCAATCTCGCACATTCGTGACTTTCAAACCCCTTGCACTAGATATCTATTGCGATGAAATGAGACCTCATTCACAGTGTTTTTTTTTTATAAAAAGGGACATGAAGCTTTACAGTCCATACGGTTTCGTCTGCACGTCGTATTTTTCTAAAAGAAATTCCTTTAAATAAAGGACTTCAAGCAGTCAGGAGAAGAATGAGGTCAAGGTGAGACCAGGAAGCAATTTGCTCAAGAAAACTGCGAGTGGCCAAGCCATGACATTCAGTACCGAGGAATTGGCAATTAGAGTGCATTTGCCTGCAGTGAATAAATTCATATACGAGCCTGGATTCTTTCACTCTGCTCACCAATGCTGTCCGGATGCGTCTGAGAGTGTGCATGACGCGTCAAATAGCACTGGACCCCCTCTAATGGTACAGGGATAGGTTCCTCACTTATGAGAAAACCTCTTTGCCTTAGCCACGACTGAGTTGGGCTTGGTTGGGTTTTGTGGAAAGAGAAGGGCGTCTGACCTGGCAGGAATCCTTTCCACCCTCATCGACACCAGCGCAGATCATGTCAGAGGTCACGCCACCACCGAGGAGGGAGTTGCAATTGCTGTCGGTGTAGGTGTAGACATCCACGACTTGAAGGATGGTCGGAGAGCTTCCCCCTGCGGACAAGGTTCCCCAGCCGCTCACGCTCACTGTCGTTCCAGCTGTAAGATTCAAGAGACGTTCTGATTAGCGAGAAGTTGACAATCAAAGCCATCGATTAGAAGGAGCAATAAAATAGAGAATGAACAGGCATGAAGTTGTTTTTTTTTTTTGGATGCCTCTTGCGATTTTTTTTTGTATTTGAAAATGATTTTTTTCTTGAATAATTTTTTTATTATAAGGTACATGGATTGTCTGATATCTCTCAGAGTTATTTCCTGTTTTGTTCGATAGTTAGACCCTATATTGTGTTTGCTGTTGACCACATGTGGATTTTCATGGCTTCATGAACTCATCGTCATAATTAATTATTATTGTCCGCTGCAGGGCCGCGGCCTGTCGAAAGCACGTCATGTAAGTCGAAAAATTGCTCCTTGCGCTAGCCCACCGAAGGCGATACTATATCAAGAACTCGTAAATTATAGTACTGCAAGATGGATACAACAATCATTTGATGCCACGTAGTATGATTTTCCATTTTCTCAATTTATTGAAATTTTAGGAGGCGTTCATCCCATCGCCATGAGACCGAACAGCGTCTCACAAATGAAGGTTATCAATGACTTCATTTTAAGTTCCTCCTAGTGGTAGAGCGTATTCTATCCACGACGTCATTGGATTTCTGGTTCCGGTCAAAGGCTCTGCTACTTTCCTTTGCGAATGGGAAACGTACCTGCATAATCCTGGCCTTGTGACGGGAGGGCGACAGCCTTCATGGTCACTCCGTTCAAGGGCAGGGCTGTAGCCAAGGTCAACTCGCAGATGTCATTAACCAGCGTGTTACTAAAACACAGGAAAGTCATTTTATCAGTAAGACATTCGGAAGGTGTAATGATCTGAATACGCTGTACGACGAAATGTCGAATCCTAGTCGGAATGTCTGAAATGCCAAGGAGCTAAAATGAAGAAACAAAATCCCTAATGTTCTATGAGACATTTTATGCATCAGTCTTCAATGGAACGTAGTAATCTATCAAATATTTCCCAAAAGAAAATATAGTCTTTATATCGCAGAGTATAGATATAGGAGTTAAAGACGACGAGAATGAGGGGGGGGAGAGGGGTCAAGGAAACTTATTCCTTGCATTCATAGCAATGTGACCAATGGTCTTCAAGTATTCCGATATAAGTTCCATAAATCTCACACACGCGCTTGATCTGGGAGTCCTTCGATGTTTCATTTCTCCTCTTTTCGAGAAAGTAGCCGATTTTCGAGGGTTGAATCTCAGTGTTTCCCTGTTCCTTGCGCGGTTCATGTCATAGACGAAGTTGTGGGGCCAACTGGGGCCTCTTACCAACTATATATGAAAAGCAATTGTGCTAATCTCTCAGATTACGAGTTTCCTTATTGAGGGCACGATCCACGCGCTTGCCTCCTGTCAATCTAGTATTCACGGAAGAATCAATAGGCCCGGTAAGACTATTACCTTTCTTCAACCCCTTCCCGTAACGAAATTCAATCTCCTCGTATTCCTCCCTGTGAGCTAGCACATGAGCAAAATTGGGCATACTTCTTATCTTCTTGACACCTAATCGCTCCAGCAAATTTGAAGCTCCATCTTTCCTGGGTTGCAGAGAACACTGATTTTCGCATTTGGAAGATGTGGATTTTATTCCAATATTCCCACCCGGTAGTCACTCCTGGGGTTTTTTCGGAGGGTAGAGACCAACCAAATGAAAGAGATATTGACTGAATGATGATGAAAATAGCCCTTTTTGTTTTTTTTTTTTTTTGCGATGCACCATTTCGCCATTTAAAAAAATGAATTAGTTGTCGTTCATTTGTACTTAGCGTATTCGCTCCAACCCCTTCCCCCAGTGTTGCCGGATATCGTGCCGGAGTTAGGTCAGATTCATGACTGCTTCGGCCTTCGTTTCGGTATCTGGATCTTCTGTTTTTAATGTATGAAACATATTTGTGCTGGGTTCATAAGATGAGCTGAGATTGAAAGGGGATATGGAGATATCTTACACGGACATCCCTGAATTAACAGGATAACGCCCAACTTGCATTTCATGCTTCGGGAGGCATTCTCTCCTCAGACCTAGTCGGGATGGTACGAGAAACTCCTGATAGGCCTAACGTTCCACGTCCGCTCTGAAATGGTTCATGAAACGCGAAACAGGTCTCTTATCTGTCTAAAGTTCCACGCTCCACTGTATGCATAGGCCTGCGATTGGTCTAACGTTACACGTCCTCAACGAGATGCCTCGAAGGCCGCGGGATTGGTCCTTATAGGCCTGATTGACCCAGTAAGTCGAGGATTGTGTTTCTTTTTAAGGAAAAAAAAGTAGGCATAGACCTGACCTGAAGACAGTCCGTCGGTTAGGCCTTGGCCTAACGTTAATGAGTCCCATAGAGAAGGGGGCATGGGGGTTGAGGTTGACGTTGAGGCTGAAGAAAAGGAAAGGCTTTGAAATTTTTTTTTTTTCACATAACCCATTGAAAAATTTTCGTTGGTCTATCGTCGGCCCTAGTTGGGGCGGTTGGCGTATCCTCGGCGAATGATTGACCTGGTCAAGCCATACTTATGCCGTTGTTGCCCCATCCATCGCCCTTTCATTGGGGGGCGCATAACAACAGTGGCATATGTGCAGCTAATGTGACTGGAAAGTGACCCAAAACCGGCGTGAGGTGGAGCATAAGTGGTCGTAGTAGAGAGCCACTTCCCTGTTTCTATTGAAATGAGTCCCCTTTACCGTTGACACGGTTTCCTACGATTTTTCCACACATATCTCAGAGGAAGCCATTGGGATTCCCAGACACATTTCTGTGAAGAGGTAACCCAGCCCAGGGATAAATCAGGAAATTCCGGCCTGGAGGTTGGTAGGAGGATGGCTTTAATTTCCATCCGCGTTGTGACATTACATGTTGAATCAACGTTGATTCAACGTCATTTCGTCAACGCAGCTAACGTTGAAACCACGGTGACTGTTAACATTGATTCTACATTGAAAGTTCATTTTTTAAAATCAACAATTGATTCAACGTTAACATCAACATTGATTCAATGTTCAAAACCAACGTTGCTTCAACATTTGCTTATCAACGTTGACTCCATATTGAAAATTCATTTTCTTCAACATTGAAGAAATATTGAATCCACGATGATTCAACGTTGATATGACAGGTCTCAACAATCTGTTTATCATTTTTATCAACAATTGATTCAACGTTGACATCAACGGTATATCAACATTGATTCAATGTTCAAAACCAACATTGCAACGTTGTTTCAACATTTGCTTATCAACGTTGACTCCATATTGAAAATTCATTTTCTTCAACATTGAAGAAATATTTAATCCACGATGATTCAACGCTGATATGACAGGTCTCAACAATCTGTTTAATTCGTGCGCATGCGCCGTTTCATGGCTGAAGCATCTGGACACGATCTCCATCCTCCGAATCTGCTTTTTTAAGATTCCCCCATCCAAGGACAATGCGAACCTAATGCCGAGATGAGAAAGAAGCATCCTGTTCCCCCGGAAGCAGAAGGACACCGACGCAATTACCGCGATTTAATAAGAGATTACCCTCACTCCACGCACCCTTCGGCAGTGATCATGACTTGAATTCATCCTCGAAAACAGGGCGACGTGGTCTCATGGAGTAATATGACTTCATATACTTTCTTGTGTCCATCACCCTGCTCAGAATATCCTGGGTCTTGTTTGGTTGGGTTGCCACATTGGTCGAAAGTCAAATTCCTTCCCGGGCGTCGTTTGTGGAGAAAATATCAAGTACTGTTCCAAAAGTACTAGAGACGCGTACTGATTGCATGTATATGGTAACTAACCATGTTGGACAAGTAGTTGCCATCATATTTCGCAGTCAGGAAATCTTGTTTGTTCGCATGTCTCGCTAGATGTCTCGCCAGACATCTGTTGATGTAACGTTGACCGGACAACGTTCTCTCAATATTGATCTTTTCAACATCGAATCAACATTGAATCAATGTTAAAGGATTGATGCCATACTGAAGCGTTCATTTAATTAATATGTGAGCAATGCGGCCGCTGTGAAGCTGTTTCACGTGAGTCTGTCCTTTCTTCGGATAACCTATATTACTTCGATACGTGCTAAAGGCATTCACCATACTCAGATAATATGTTAGTAATAAAAAATGATAAATAAATAAACACATTCATATAGGAAACACTACAGGAAGACCATGTACCATCAAGACCGTCCCAGAAAACACATTTTGTATTATTAGTAAGGAAAATAGGAATGATTTTAGCAGCCATTACAGTTCAAGCTTAATTAAAATATATCTAGTCTTCACGTCATTTCTCCTACACCAAGCCCTTGATGGCATACATAATCACGTCGGTGTCTATTTCGGGAAACAGGTCTGACACAGTAATCGTTGCTCCTAGTTATGCGAGCCGAAAATGCCATTCTGTTTGATTGGTGCGACGAAATTCGAGTGCCTTTCAGCCACTGCCTTATTTGCTCAAAATCGAACGTTCCTCTTGAAAGAAATATTTCCTGGTAGATCGGCTGAAGTAATTAAGTAATTGGAAACACTGATGGAGAAAGCATTTTAAAAAATCATTTACTGCATATACTTCGACCGTGAATGGTCCAGCATTGAATGAATGTCACCGTATAAACGGTGACGGTCACCGCGTTGAATCAATGTTGAAGTAACATGGATGTAACAACAGTGATACATTCAATCCACACTCAGTCAACAATGATTCAACGCCTCATTCCAAACACGTCGGTGTCTATATCGGGGGATGAAAATACCAGATTTGATTTCGAACTCCTGCTTTAGGTCACCTAGGCGGCCCTGTCATCCGACAGTCACAGGGCCACTAAACTCCATCGTCCAGGTGCCCCACCCCTAGTAAACTAAGGTTTGAAGTTCAGGGTTTTTAGACTGCCTATTGCAGCGTTGCATGCAAAACCATATTTAAAGGTTTTTTTTACAAAAATGAATTTATTTCATCTAATCAAGAAGTCGGATATGCGACAGAATACGCGTTTGAATGCGAGTGTAGTTCGTAGAATGCCTCTCTCCCGTTGTAATGTTAGGGATGACATGGAGACTGGAGCTTCGTGGCGTAGTGGTAACACGCTTGTTTCGTAATCAGGAAGTCTAGGGTTCGGATCGCGCCATTTTGCTTTTTAGTCTTCTTATGTTACCCGAACTCTTCCCCCACCTCCCTCGGGCTATTACGTTCTCGAGAATGGATCCGACAGTCTCAAGGGCCGGAAAAAAAAGTGCTCCTCTGCGAGAGAGAGACGTACACCCTTTGGCAGACAGAAGGAGCCGCACATGGACTTGCGGACATGCACTCAGACCAAAGCATCGGAGGCTTCATATGCACGAACGCAGCTTCATAGTGTTTTTAATATATAGGACTAGCTGAAGTACCCGGCGTTGCCCTGGAAAATTCAATATTTCTTGCATGACAAATTGGGGAACGTTAGCCTCATGGTCTCCTATAAATTACCGATCTTGGGTGTCGCAAAATGCGCTCGGACCCCTTTCTCTTTTAAAAAATTTTTTGCACGCTTTGAATAATTTATAAATTATTTTTAAGGAAAAAACTTCTCGGTGAAACGCTTTTATCGTTTAGAAACATTTTCGATGAAAACTTGATCAAAAGAATATTACTTACTACCTACAGTAGTGATCAAGAAATGGGATTACCCCAGGGTACTGTAATGCAGGTGGCCGGGATGGGAGAGTTGTATGGCATGAGAGGACAAAAAAAAGGCTGGGGGCGGCCAGGAATCGAAACAGAGCCTCCTGATCGTCGGTCAGGTATGCTACCACTGCACCACCGAATCCAGGAGTTAATTGCTCCTCTCAAGGCCATCTCAGACAATACAGCCCCCCCGGAAAAAAGTACCCCGGGAGTGAACATTTTGGATGGAAACAGCCCTCGACCCTCCCCTGGATAAAGGAGAAGGCCATGCAAAGTTTGGTTGCACTGGCTCCTGCGGGGTCTGAATGCATAAAAGAACAGACAGATAGACAAACTTTCTTCTTTATATATAGAGAGATGGGTCACACCGATCTAGCCTCACAAAAGCACTTTCGTTCATTAGTAAGGTAAATGCCTAGATTTCGACATGTGCAAGTCAATGAATTAATTGGCTTTAAAAATGTATATCCAGCGTGTATATATTTATAAATGTATATATTGAATATATATGATTTTTATTGAATCTACTTTTTTCTAATTTTACCTTTTTATTGAGACAATTCCACCATGTCAGATGCTCGCGAGAGTTTTTTTTTTCTTTTTGTTTGCTTGCTGCGATAGACTTCAGGCCAGGCGTAATTTCAGCCATCTTCTTATCTGCCCTAAATCAAGCATTTTTCGCGATCGTAATGCATTATGGGCCATTGGCTAAACTATTAAACGAATCATGTTGAAGTATACACAAAAAATCCTAAGGGTAGATAATAAAAAAGGATTCTTTGCTGCAAAAGAAACCATTGAATCGAGGCTGATTTAATGTCAACACTTCCACCGTGAATAGTGCAGCATTGATTCAATGTTGAGTCAATGTGGGTGTATAAACGGTGATGGTCNGGATTCTTTGCTGCAAAAGAAACCATTGAATCGAGGCTGATTTAATGTCAACACTTCCACCGTGAATAGTGCAGCATTGATTCAATGTTGAGTCAATGTGGGTGTATAAACGGTGATGGTCACCGCGTTAAATCAATGTTGATTCAACATAGAAGTATAAACCTTCAACAGTGAAACATTCGATCCACACCAAATCAACGTTGAATCAATGTTATGTGCTACCTGGGAAGTTACATAAGGCAGCGAAGCAGAGAAGGAAAAAAAATCTATTCTAAATCTATATCTAAAAGATATTCGCAGTTCGATGTTCTACGTTTGACACGAATCGGCAAAGTGGCTATTTTCGTCTGGTCGGACAATTCCCGCTCTCATTATCCGGTATGTATTTACTTATGCGGGAGGGTGTCCGAAAGTAA